CAAATTTCCAATTTCATCAAAACGCTGTATCAAATTTTCTCCTAGTTAACACCCTGATATATATATATATATATATATATATATATATATATAATATATATATATATATATATATATATATATATATATATATATATATATATATATATATATAGATATATATATATATATATATATATATATATATATATATATATATATATATATATATATATATATATATATATATATATATATATATATATATATATATATATATATATATATATATATATATATATATATATATATATATATATATATATATATATATAGTTAGTTAGTAGTAAATGCTGTAACTGGCAGAGCCAGTGAGTGTGTTATCAGGCTGCTGAAATGATCGATTGCTGCTCATCCAGCAATTAATTGCTTCTTTAAAGCTTTTGACTGAAGGTGATTTAACAATTTCTTCTGGTAGAGAGTTCCATAAATTCGCTACTCGAAAGAAGAAGTCTGTACTGATGTTTTGTCAATTCCTTAGAAATTTTAAAGCAGTGTCCTCTTGTATGATTGTCAACAATTGGAAAACAAATGCCTTTTTCTAATTTATCAAAATTATGCATAATTTTATACACTTGTATTAAATCTCCTCTTTGTCTTCTTTTTACTCGTGTAGTTTAATTCTTCAAGTCTTCTTCGTGTAGTTTAATTCTTCAAGTCTTCTTGTATATGAAAGATTTCTGATTGATGATACCAGTTTAGTAGCTTTGTGCTAGATTCTTTCAATATAGTCACAATATGATTTAACAAATAGAGACCATACTGGAACTGCTAACTCCAGTAAAATTAAGCAAATAAAGTAACTTATAATCGAAACAAACAAATGATTTTTTGATACGACCAAGCATTTGATTTGCATTGTTAGAAGCATTAATCACTTGATTTTTCCATTTTAGGTTTGTATTGAAAAGTATTCCCAGATCTCTTTCTGTGTCTGACTTCGTTAAATGAATACTATTTAAATTATATAGATAGTTTTTGTTATTGTGGCCATAATGCATAACTACACACTTTGTATGTTAAACAGAAGTAGCTATGTTTGAGACCAATTGTAGACAATATCTAGATAATTTTGAAGATTAGTAGCGAATAGCTCTGATTATAGTTGAGAAAGCACTTTTGTATCATCAGTATAAAGTTTGGTTACATTAAGCAGTTTTTTATATTTAGGTTTCAGGTACATAAAAATAAAGATATTTTTATGGAAATAAAAAAAAAAACAAAGCTGAAAAGCGGTAATCTTCATTTAAATACAATTTTTCTTTTTCAATTTTGATCAAAAGCCAGTTAGCGCTAAGGTTTTTTTAAAAAGGAGAAATCCCATTCTAATTGTGTACTCTTAAATTCTTTTAAGAAAATCAACCATAAACAAGTGTCCCTTTATTTTAAAAAAGTAATGAAATTAAGTTTTAAAAGAAAAAAAATTAAGTTTAAATAAGTATAAAGTTTTAAAATAAGGAAATTTTTTTAAATAAACATTTAAATTTAATTTATAGTTTTTTTTATCACAATATTAATTAATTTAAGAATATAATTTTAAATTCAAATTTTTTTAACATTTTAAAGACTTGCAATAATTTCTGATGTTTTTGAAATTAATTACAATGAGGTATTTTAAAATACGCAACTGGCGCAATTAAATTTTTAACGATGTAAATATCTTTATTTATTATAGTTACAAATATTCATGTTGCGCTTTTCCATTATGCAACAACTCTTAACAAGGCCTGATATTTATTTATGGGAATTAATTTTTTCAAACTACTACAATAAAATAAATAACTGCAAATTAAGACTAATTGAAAATAACTAATAGAAGAAGTGTTTTTTTGTAAATATGCATCTTTTTGTGGAACATCTACTTTGTTTCAATTATTTTGTTCTTAAATATTAAGTAAATAAATTTTATATTATATTTTTTATTATAATATTTCTGCATTTGTATAAAAGAATTGAATGTTTTAATTGATTTTTTTTTATTATTTCTCAAAATTGTGGCATTGCAAATTCTTTCACCCTTAGGTGATCAATTAGTGTAAATAATTGTATTATATATATATATATATATATATATATATATATATATATATATATATATATATATATATATATATATATATATATATATATATATATATATATATATATATATATATATATATATATATACTATTTTTGTGTTGCGTCAGAAGGAACATTGTGGTTGCATCGTATATAATGTTGTATATAATGTTTATAATGTTTATTATACCCTCAGAGGTATTTGCAAATGTATATATATTTAGTAAAGATATTCACAAACACAACAAGAAAAAAACAAATATAGACTTACTATTACACCCTCATTATTAAATATATTTATACTTGATAACATTATCAAATAAATTTTATCTCGATAACGTTATATATGGAAAAAAATTTTTATATATAGAGTTATATGTGAAAAAAAAATTTTTATTTAGTTTTTATTTAGTTAAAAAATAAATTCTTTTTAAGTTAGTCATAATGTTCTTTCTTTTTTTTTTATAAAATCAATCATTATAACAAAAAATTAAATATTAAAAGTGGCACTAATATAAAATAAAATTTAATGTGACCTTTTTTTTTAATTTTGTATTTACTTTTTTATTGTTTGTTATGATAAATTGTTTTGCAACTGCAAGATAAAAAAAAAGGTTTTCTTATTACATTTCTTTTATGATTTTATTTCTTTATGTGTCGTTTTTCGTTACTATCTTTATTAGCATCTTTTTTTTTCTATATTTTTTTATTAGCATCTTTTTTTATTTCTTTTGCTGAACATTTTTGATGGAAAAGTTAATTTAATAAAAATAAAATTTTTTGTATTTTTTCTTAACTTATTACATTTGTAAATAATGCTAATATCAATATATATATTAAATACTGTTTAATTCAATATTAAATACTACACTCAGGGTACAAATTAGTTTTTTTGCTGTTTTTTCCTTGATTATAAATATTATAATAAAAACATTTAAGCAGAATAGATTTTAGATTTAAAATAGTTAAAATAAACTTATATTAAGCTAAATCAATATCTTTTTTATAAAAAAATAAAAAAAAATCTTAAGTAAACAACTGTTTTTTTCAAGGTCACTATTTTAATTTGTATGTGTATTCGCTTGTTTTCATGTGATTCTGCGCATAAAGACTTAGTATTAAATATGCGCACGGATTAAATTATCTGAACTGTAAAGGCGTCTTTTGTAATTGTTAATAAGGCCTGCTTTCCATGTTCACTTTAATATTCATAATTTTGAAATTCATCTTTTCCAGCTATACACCAACAAGAAGAATAAGTTGATACTACAATTTCTATTCCAAAATAAATGTTGGCAAACTTCATATCAAATACACAAAAATATTTTTTTTATATTCATAAGATCTTTTTTTCAAATTTGCATAGGACTCTTGAAATTTTTCTACAAGTGCAATAATAATAAGTTTTTTGACCCCACCATCTTTGAATTTTTCTCTACATATACCTACATCATACCTAAATTTTTCTTCTTTTTCCACTGACACCTCATAACAATTTAAGATATTTAAATAATTTTTCAAAAACTCAGCTCCTCCATCAGTACCAACGTATGAGTTGAATTTTTGTCTTCCAGTTTTTTTTATATATTTGATCCAGGCCTTAAACTACTTCTAGCTGTAAGGCATATAGCACATTAAAAAAGTTTTTGGTTTCTGGTAAAAACAGTTTCTTTGATGTTAGTAAACCAAATGGTTTGCCTAAAATTATGCTCGTATTACTTTTTTTTCTATTTTTATTAAGTTGTTTTGACATCTTCCACAAGTTCATTTGGAAGATGGCTATTATTCAAGTTTATATAATCAATAAAAAAATTTTTTAATTCTTATAAAAACCACACTTCCCTTTTGAATTTTACTTAAACTTTTTCCTTTTTCAAAACAAATTAAACTAACTTACGATTTGGCTTACACAGTTCTGTAAAATATATTTTTTAAATTTGATTATTCAAGTAAAGGTATAGGTTATTGGAGCAAACATTTTGAGTTTTAAGGTAAACATAGAATTCTAAGTGGAAACACTAACAAACTTTTTATTTGTTTAGATAGTTCATGGAGTAGAATTCAAGGGGGGAGGGCAGTATTTAATACTAGTTGATAACACAGATATTTTAAAACATTTGATCTATTCTTTTTCACTGGGTTATGACGAATATTGTTTTTTCAAGCATTTAAATGTTTTAGAGAAGTAGAGTCATAGGAATGACTTTAAAGTAAGGCTATTTAACAAAAATCAAAGAATTTTAAGAAGCCTACCCTATGCTTGGATTAATCTCCTAAAGTACATTTTTTATTAAAGCATACAATTTTACTTACTTTAGTGAAACATAGAATTTTTAAAAATGACATCAATTGATAATCCAAACAAAGAAATAGGTTATTGAAGCAAACAAGCCTCTTAATCTGTTCATCATAACTTTATTCAGTTCTGGGAAAATGGTTACTAAATATCCAGCTGTCACAAAAATTATTTTAAAAACCATCTTATGTTGTTATGTTGTTATGTTGTTATATTGTATACAATTCTAGTCATACTTTTCTTTCAAAAAATCTTGTTGAATGAGTTTATATATTTTTTTATTTTTTAAATTGTATTTATTGAATTTTTATATAGTGAAAAGTTACTTTACAAAAGTAAAATATCAAATTATTCAATATTAAAATTATATAAAAATATTTAGTTCATGTTTTTAATTTTTGTATTTATCAGAGTTTACTCAAACTCAAAAGTTTAAATAATTACTTTATAAAAAAGACCCGAGTCTTTTTTGTTTAATGAAACAAGAGTGAGTGAGTGATACAAGAATTACCCTACTTTCATCCTAAGCATTCTTCCCTAGTGTAACACTTCTTTTTAAATCCTACAGTTAATTTCTATTTAGTTTAGGATATAAAAGGTTAATTTTATTTTGTTGCACATGGAGATAAGGATTTAAATTTTTAGGTTAAGTTTATTTCTAGGCTCAGATTGCCTTAATTTTCTTTAAAATATTAAATGTCTCCAGTATCAATATTACAAAATTCTCTGATAGTTACTTATCATGACACCAAAAATTCAGGACCCACTTATTTAACCCCCTTTTATTTTGTAAGATATCCACAGAATATTTTTAAAAAATTTATAATTGTACAAAGCATGGTGGTTGCGAAAATTAAATCGGTTTCTGGTTTACTTTTTTTTCTGCATCTGATATTTATGTCTAATTTGTTAATATCTTGCATATATAGACCTTTTTAAACGTTTTTTTTTTAATTTGTGTGTGTTTGCACACACTCACACACTCACAACACACACATGCACATTTATTTCCAGAGCAAAATATCAAAACCTTTGATACTAGAAGATCTTCATTAACAGCTCTCCACAAATACAATATTTAATTAGCACAAATTAAAGTTGCACGATAAAAATATCTTAAAATTTTACAACTTCCAAATTAGAATTGTCAAAAATAAAATAATCCAAACTTTAATTGCTAAAAAACAGGTTCATGGCTGTGTCAATTTTATTTAGTACTTCATAATATTTTAAACTTTTCGAAAACATTTAGTTAAAAAACTAAATATTTCTTCCTGATAAAAAGCTTAAAAATTAATGCGTAAAGCAAAAATATAAAAAACACAAAATACCCAGTAATTGAGAAAGAGTCTATTAAATGAAAATGTTGTCAAAGAAAACAGAGTATTTTTTTGTAAAAGAGAAAATATAACATTTGTTCATAAGATATATATTCTTTTCTCTTTTAAAGTTTTTTTTATATATAAACTATTTTTTATAAAGTTTTACTAAAACTTTGTAAATTTGTGTACTTTTACTTTTAATTGCTTTATTGATTTTCAACTTATTGTAAAAAATGTTTTGTTTTTATTCTCTAAAGATTTTTTTATTATTTATAGATACCTGCCATTATTTATGTTAATATTTTCTATTATCTATAGATACCTGCTAATATTTATCCTCTTCATGTTTCTCTTAATAATGGATGTCTAAGAATAGAATGTAAGTCATTGTAGTTATTTACTACTACTCTTTAATTATAATTTAATACTGCTCTTTCATTATGATTAGTGTTTTATTGGTTGATTTATTTTTCTGCATGTTTATCAAAAAATAAAATAAAAATTTGTTTTTTGTTTTTTTGGTTGGCAAAACAGCAAGTTTCTAGGGGTGGCAAGTATTAAAATTAACCGTAAATCAATAATTGCCTAAAAAAACACACTTTGTTTTAATAATATTTGGTAATCATTTATATAAGTTTAAAATTAAATCGATATTTCAATATCATATTTTTGTTAACATTAACCTTTTATTATAGAGTAATAAATACCTGGCCTTATGTATATGATTATTTTAAAGCAAATAGAGTCTTATTATTTAATACTTAGAAGTGTAGGCTTTTGCATTTAGGAAATATTTAGGAAATAGGAAAAAATGAATAAATGCACTTTATTAAAAAAAGAAAGCAAACTTCTGTATTTTTTTATCATTGCATATTTTGCCATATATGTATAATATTTGTTTATTGATATTAAGAAAAGCTTTTTTCACCTAAAAAAAATATCTTATAAAGAAAAAATTCACATCCAATAAACAAGAATAATGTTAAAGAGCAAGGAAAGGTTGCCAAAAGACTTGGAAAAAGGACAAAGGAAAGGAAAAGAAAACTTGAAAAGCAAGGAAAGCCAAAAGAAAACTTAAAAGTTTTAAATCTTTTATCAAGGTTTTAATTGTTTGAAATCCTCTCAGTGCGAGAGAATTTCAAACCATTGATGTGCACTGAAAAAAACTATATGAAATATAGTTTCATAATTATATAAAAATAGCAATATAAAAACTCTTCAAAGCATGAAGACAAAGCAGTAGATGGATGCAATATTGCTGAAGTCATGCGACAATGAGTTTTGTTTGATGTAACTAGAGATGCTAACTCTTTTGAGCAGCAACCATTATACTATTTGTAGAAATAATAAAGAGATGCAACCTTAATGTATATTTTATGTGAAGTTTTTATACATGAAGTCTTTGTGTAAGGGACTTTTTATGTAAGATGTTTGTTTAAGGAAATTTTTTTTTGGAGTCTTTATGTAATAGAATTTATTTTGGAATCAGAGGATAGTAGCCATCAACACTGAGATCAGAAAATAAATTAAATAGAAAAAAAAATTATCTTATAAAGTGTAAGTAAGTTTTAGAAATTTTGAAAAAGATAAATTGCCAAAATTATTTATATCATAAATTTAAAGATTTTGGAAGTTTGATAAGTTAAAACATTTTGTGTTTATTTTTTTGTGCCATTAAATTTGGAAAAAACCTAATTACCAGGTAGCACCAGAAACATTAAACCAGCACTGGAAATAATAATTTTAAGTTACGATACTGATCAGCAACCTTAAATGAAAAAAACCATTTTTAATCTTAAATAATGATTTAAAAATATATATATTTTTTTAAAATCATTATTTAAGATTAATCTTTTAGTAAATAATTTATTTTTATATTTTGCTTTTAATTTGCAAAAAAATTTTCACTTCTCTGTTTAGCCTTTATAGCATATCATTTTGAATTGCCTAAATCAAAATTTTTTGAACAAAAATGATATTTCCACCTATTAGATGTTTTTAACCAATTTATGATTATGATAATTTTCATCGTCTGTATTCGAAGATTACAGCGGGTTCCAAACTGATTTCTTATAAAACGAAAAAATATTTTTTTTCCTGAAAAAAAGGTAGGCCAGTCATTGATTGTTGATCTGTAACTATTCCCAGTGTTTTTAAACCAAATGTAAGAGCTATGACCTCATTAGAAGAGAATGAGTTCTAGGCATTGATAAAGAGCCACAAAGCAAATACAATAAGAGTCAAAATAATCAAGAATTTAAATCTATGCATTCAATAAATAATAGGTTGAGCAAGAATCACTAGACAAGGGAGTATTTTAAGTTGGAGTTAACTTCTCCTAACCTTTGCTTAAAAAAGTCAATTTTTTTTTTCATTTAAAAGGACAATTAAATAAAACTTTTTAAAATAAAATAAAGCATATCAAGCTTTCACAAGTAGGTGTGGGATCAGACATATTTATATGACCATGCATAAAAAAATATTTTTTTTAACGATTTGACCATGGCTTTTGACATTTTTTCAAAATTTAAAAACGCTCTAAAAAAACTTACCTTAACTTACCTTAAAAAAAAATTGTAAAAAGAAATAAAATCTTAACAAAAGAGAAAATAAAAAAAATACTTAAATTAAAGCAAAAACAAAAAAATAAATATATATATAACCCCACTAAAACAAAACTCATCAAACTAAAATGCATAGTCTATTTAATTTATGCATTAAAAACCCATTTCAATCTTTGCTTTAACATTTGAATTTTTTTATTCTTATTTAATATGTTTGAAAAGGAAAACATTTCTCATAAAAAATACATAGTTATATAAATAAAAAAAACAGTTTAAAAATACTTATTTTAAAAATTAATCAGAAGTGTTTTGTTACTTCATTGAAAAGCGTTTCAATAATACAAAAATTTAAGATCAAACTTATTTAATTGTAACGGCTTTCTAAATTTTTTTTTTTTCAACAAAATTTTGTTTATCTTTTTAAATGTATTAACTTTAATTATTATTATATTAAAATTTAACTTTTGTATTTGTAGAATGTCATCGTTTATAAAAACAAAACAATTTTTTACTTTTTTAATAACGTTTCTTATAGAAATGCGCACTTAAAGAATTTATATATTATAAATTAAAAAAATATATACAACTGTCAATTATATTAAAAAAAAAAAAAACTTTCACTAATATGAAAACATTTATTAAGAAGTTTTGATGTAATTAATTTCACTTTTTCAGAATATTTTTCATTTAGTTCATTTTTAAAATGTTTTTTGAATTAGCCATGGTCAAATTGTCATAGCAAAATGTAGTTTGTCTGGTCATATAAAAACATGTGATTGACCACCTTTGTGTGAAAACCTGAGTATATAATTTATATATATCACTAAAATTAAAATGATTTTTGTTTTTTTAAGGGAGTGACAATCATATATCAATATACAGTGAAAGTTGGTTGTTTCAAAACCATTATAATAAATCACTAGAACCTTTTCTTATCAGGTAGATGTATATACTTATATAAATTTTACCTAAAATATGCTTGTGTATAAACTTTTTTTTTAAAAAATAATTTTTTATTTAAATTTATATTATTCAATGTTTCACTGATTTACTGTGATCAGCATCATCAGGTATATTAAATAAAAATTGTTTTAATAAAACAAACTGTTATAAAGATTAAATTAAAAATAACATAACAAAATACAAAAATAGATTTTTAAATGTTGATGTTTAATAATCAAATAAAAAATGGCCACCATGCTTTTGTTGTCAAGTTATCATCACTATTAAGAACTTTTTTTGCAACTTTCCAACTCTTGTCAAACTTTAGTTCTGTTTATTTCAAGTGATTCTCAAATTTTCCGAACATGATATTCTGGAGCAATAGATATGGTTTTGGGATTAAACCAGTCAAACTTATCTTGGCATTATTGGGAATTTTCCCAAACTGTCTTATTTTCTTTTTATATATTTTTTTGATACTCAATTTCGTCTTCATACAATGCATCTTCATGCAATGCATCTTCATACAATGCATCTTGATACAATTTTCTTTTTAGTTTTAAGGCTTTGTATTTAAAAGTTTTGACTTTTAGTTTAAACAACAATGTTTTTCTACTAAAAAAATTAAAAATGAGTTCAGATACTAAGATATATCTCTTTAATTAAGACTCAGATTTCACATTACTATACCAAAAGGATGCATCTTTTAAATTAAAAATAATTTTTTTATTTATATGTTTTGTCATTTAAAAAAAGAATACAATGTCGTTTTATATAAATGAAACCTACATGACCGAGGCTAAAAGAAGACAATATTTGCCTTTTCACTATGCCCCAAAGTGCTTTTATTAGCAAGCATGTACAACCATCAAAATATAAACATAAAATTGCTTTGTACTGTATAAAAAATAAATACAAATTTTACAAGTATGTTAAGATCAGTTATTAATCTATAATCAAAAGAAAATCGTAATAATAATAATAATAATAATAATTACACCTAAAAACTAAAGATAAGTTAATAGGATAATTTAAATAAAATTTAAATTAAAGACCAGTTAAAAAAGAAAAAGAAAGAAAAAGAAAAAAAGAACCTTAAAGGGATCCCAAACTCCCAACACATGTTGTGTTCAAACTAAATATAATGTTGAAAAAAAATGTTTGAACCAAGTTTTTTTGATTAAAAATAAGTAATGAATGCATACTGAGAAAAACTAATCTTGTTGTTTTAGTCAAAGCTCGTCTTCTCCATTTTACTCTAAAACTCAGAGTCTTTAAATTATGCGATGCAATCTACAGACTTTGGCGATTCCTTTGAAGCGCATTTAATTCATAAAAGTTTTAGTATTTGACGTCGCGGTAGTCTTTCGACAAAAGAAAAATGTAATTATACAAAGCTGCGTTTTTCAACTTTGATTCAATAAGTATATTGTAGTATTTTTTTTTAAATACAGCAAAACAAATTTATTTGTAATATTTTTCCAAACATTGCAAAAAAAATTTTGTTAAAAGTAAAAATAATAAATTATTTTTATTTAAAGGATCATCTTGTTTTTTACAGATATCTTAATAATTTTTAGATTTATATATCTTACTTATATTTCATTTGTTTTAAAATTAAAACAAATATTAAGGCTTTACTTATGAAATGGTTTACATATGAATATTTTACATTATATAGAACTTTATATATACGGTCTCTTGTTTCTGTGCAAGAAAGCATTATATATTCAAGAATTGCAAGAGAGTATTATATATTCTGAATCTTTTTTATTTTTATTTAAACAATGGAAACTATTTTCTAAATTCTCTATTTTTATGCTATGACATTTTTTGTTCTCCTATTGAAAAAAAGTATTAACAGTTACTTTCATTAACTGACAGTATTAATTAGAGATATTTGATGAACTGTTACATTTTTTTATTATAAAAAATTTTTGAACACGCTGATTTAAATTGCTAAATTTGCTAAATTGAATAAAAGAAAGGAAATATCTTTAAATTTTGTATTTGATTACAAATTTGATAACAAAACATTAAAAATATTGGTAACTCCATCCCAATTAGAACCGGTTAAGGTTATGAAAAAAAAGCACAAAAGTACACTAATACAGGTGACAGTAGTATCAGATATGAAAGTTCGTGAAAAGATATGTGAAATCCTGGTTTTGCATTACATGTACAACCAATAACAGCACAAGTCGGCATTAAAAATTTTGATTATAAGTTTACTGTTCAATGTTTTATAATCATCAAACTAAAAATATGAAGTATATTTTTGTCTGTTTAATACAATTAACATTAAACAAAAATACAGACGAATTATTATTAATGCTATAATTAACACATTAATTAATGATAATAATTCAAGATAAATGGTAATTTAAATTGTCGAAATGTCATTACACGCGTTAAAAAACATATTATATTTGGTATTTCTGTTTGTCTCATAACATGGAAAAATAAAAAAATAACTAAATTGACAAATACAAGTTTTCAAACAATTTTCTCTTTTAACTCCCATTTATTCAAGAGTTGCAATTAAACGTTTATTTCTCTGATCTAAAAAAAGAACGAGTGACGCAAAAAAAAAAAATTCTATACAACTCTTATTCATTGAAAGTTTAATTATGTGAAACTTTTCTTTCTCTTTTGTTCTACTCGATTATAAAAAGAACATGCAATGAAATAAAAACTTTTTTTAACATAGAATTAAACTTAAGAAATAAATCAACAATGAGCAAAGCAATTAACAGTCCAATCTGAGACTATTTTGATATTAATGAAAATAATCAACATAAACATCAACAATAATCAAATAAACAACACAATATCACATAATTTTAGGAGCTTTTTATTTATTGCTTTGTAGTTTTAAATTATAAGTAAGTTTATTCAAGTTAATATTTCAATATTTTCAATTGCAATATAATAAAAAAAAGATTTAATGTTGAACTTTTTATTTAGTTATTTATTTTTTACCTACATAGATATAAAAGACTTTAGTACTCTTAACAATAAAATCATTTGTTTAAATATGTTTTGACAAGATTATTCTAAACTAAGTTTTTTTGTTTGACTTCCCGAACTACATGCAAAGCAATATCAGACTAAATATCTTCTAACCAATTAAAAAATGTTGTTACTAATTTTATGCACTTAATTAATATAAAACAATTTTTTATCAGATTCTTGAATAAGATAATAAATATTCATCATTTATTAACATTAAATGTAGCGCAGTAACAATTTATAGCAACGAACCAGCATAAAATATTTAAGTTTTTTGATATCTTTTTAAATGTTAAAAGTAGGAAACAAATAACTAAACAAATAATGAAAAAAATTATGAATAAAAATAAATAAAAGTTTTTCCAGAGTTTGATTTGTTAAAAGTCTACCATTACGTCAAATACTAAAACTTTTATGAATTAAACCCACTTCAAAGGAATTGCTATAGTCTGCTTTGAGATAAATGGAGAAGGCCAGCTTCGGCTAAAACAACAAGATTAGTTTTTTTTGGTATGCATTCATTATTTATTTTTAATCAAAATAACTTAGTTCAAACATTATTTTTTACCATTTTTTTAAATATGAACACAACATGTGTTGAGAGTTTGGAATGCATTTAAAAAGAATTTAATTCATTAATATCATTAAGAAGTTTTTGTTTGAGTTTTTGTTTGAATAGAGAAAGTGAAGAAAAATTATTTAGCTAGTTATTTAATAAAGTGTTCCAAATTTAGTAACTAAATAATGCATTTTAGGTTGCTCGTAATTGTAATTTGAAAATCTTGTAGGGTACACATAATTCATTATTATGAAAATTGTATTAAACATTATAGGAGTTACTTTATTATGAAATTTGTACATAAATATAAGATTTTGATAAAGGTTTAACTGAAAAACATTAAGTATGTGATAATCTTTAAATAGTTCTTTAGAATGTGTGAATTGATCTGCACCTGAAATATTTCTGACATTTTGTCTACTAAGCGATTTTTTAACTTTACTTACATTAGAGCTGCATCATGAAATATTTGCATAGTTTAAATAACAATGTATGAGGGAGCAATATAAGATTTTTAGGCAGTTTTGGTTTAATAATTGCTTAGCTTTGTATAGTATGCCAATTACCAATTTTTGACATTTTATTTTCTATCATTCTTATGTGTTCTCCCTAAGTCAAGTTTTCAAACATTTTAAACTCAGTTTTATTTGCAGATAAAACTATTTTGATGAATTTATTTTATTATCATGGAGATGATACCTTTTATTTAAAATAGTAAACAAGGAATTTTTAAATCTAGCAGAATGGCAAAAAAATTGTCTTTTAAATTTAGATAAAACTAATTATAATTTTTTTTAATTCACGATAAAGAAATATTCCATTAAAACTTCCTGATCTTTTTGTTGGCAACTCGTTATGTTGTTAAATTATCGTTTACATAAATAAGAAATTAAAGTGGACCCAGAATTGAGCCTTGGGGAACACGCAAGTTATGGTCAAGTAATCAGTTTTTCCTTCTTCGTGTACTATGTATTGTTTAGATAACTTTTGAGCCATTCAGTAATTTCATAATTATCCATCTTAGAGGTCTTATTAGGAGTAAGATATAATATACTCAATGTCTATTTTTGACGCTAAAGTAGAACCTGACAAAATATTGATCAAGTGCTTCAGCAATTAATGATTTACTTGCAATAGTTTTATTTTCAATGTTTTTCATGGATTTAATGTTGTTTTTTTTTCACATATTTTGTAACTACAGGAAAAGCTGTATTGTAAAGTGGTTGTAATTTATCAATAAACTTGTCAAATGTCTTATCTGTGCGTTCAATATCAAGGAGGCCATTCCAATTTAAATTTGATAGAAGAGTTTTTAAGTTTTTTTATGGAATTTTTATTTTTTCATGGATTTTTTATTTTTATTTTATATTTCGCATATTTTTTTCTTTCTCTAGTTATTCTTGTAGGCCTATTAATTAGTGGAAGATTGCCTTTTTGATATATGACGTTGAAGAAATTATTCATATTTGTATTTAAATGACTTATGTTTAGGTCAAGGTTAAAATTATCTGCAAAATAAATGCTTTTTTTTTTTTGCTTAATCACATAGAATATATAGAATCCATCAGATTGTGTGACACCTAAAATGTTAAATCCATTAGATTGAGTGCCGCCTAGAATATAAGGATTATATCAGATTGTGTGCCGCCTAGAATATATGGAATCCATCGGATTTTTTGTCCCTATTTCAATTCTACAACTCATAAACACAAACCTTGACAATCAAGGCAGCTGCGCGGAGAAACAAGTTGAATGTAGTACTATTAGGGATGTGGTAGTAATCGAACTCAGAACCTCAGGCTTATAAAGCAAGCGCTCTACCACTATACATCTATCGCATTAAAGTTATTTCAGTTATTATTGATATATCAATTAATGATATCCGCAACCTAAGGACTCAAACTTAATTTTCTCTTGTAAACATACACCAATTATTAGAACTTCATAAGTATTTGCTAACAAAATCTAAATAATACTAATATTGCCAGAAACTACATAAAAAAAGATTTTAAAAATACCAATTATCAACAGATTGGCAATTAACCATTTATAAAGCTACCATTGATACTAATTGTTGGTCCCAAACATAAAGAACTTTGGAAACAAAACATAAAAGTTATATTCTCATCAGCTCTAAATTTAAACAATATATTCTGCAACAATAAGACAAAACTTCTTCTAAATACAAACTCAGGCGTCTACCAATTAAAATCTTCATGCAGTTATATACATTTGTGAATCTAAAAAGAAAGTTATGTCAAAATGTATTGAGTAACAGAAAAAAAAAGTATAAAAGGAAATGGGCCAGTTCAGGTACTATTCTAAATCAAACCAAGATATGTTTGACTAGTTGCTTCCCAAAACCATATTTGATGCTCTAGAATATTTTGTTTAAAAAATTTGAGTCACTTGAAATAAACAGAACTAAAGTTTACAAAAAAAAATAATTTTACAAAAAGACATTCCATCATTTGCAACAACAAAAGACAAGTATTTTATCATAACAACTAAATGAAATTTTATTAAAGACAAATTTATTATTTATTTTTTTGCATTTAGTGATATAAAATGCCGCTATTGGGGTAAAGAAATACAAACAAATGTTCCTGAGTCAATTCATTTTGAAAATGTAAATACATTTTTTATAATCTTTTATTGTGTGTAACAAAAAAAAAAATTGTGTAAAACATATATACTAACATTTTATGTGTCTTGATATTGATTTTTTATGATCTTTCTGTGTCCTCTATTTATCTGTTTCAGTTTTGCATTATATGCTTTACTTTTGTTTCACTTCATTATATGCTTCACTTTTTCTAGGATTCTTTTTTATTCTCTTGCTATTGGAAAAATACTTTTAAAAATTTCAAGCAAGGAACAAAAAACTAAAAATTGATATAAGAGAATAGCATAGAAAGTATAATAAAGAAATTTTGATATAAAACTCTTGATTTCAAACTTGATTAAAAACTTTGATTTAAAACTTGATTAGACTTTTGACATAAAACTCTTGTCAATTTAAAATGGCATCATTCAAATTAAAATGGCATCAACCCAAGTAAAATTCCATTAACAAAGTTAAATCGTATTGCAGCAAACTAAAAAAATTATTTTCAGACTGTTGTTCCACATTAACTGTTTATGAGCAATGCGGTGTCCCAAGAAACAACATTTTTCAAAATAATCTGCTCTCACCCCCTAAATGTGTTCTATCTAATGCAAAAACACAAGGTTTAAATTTTTTTTGAATAAAAAATATTTTAAGGGGTCCCTCAAGACCCTTGAATATTTAATGGGTCTCTAATATTTTCAAATGAAGCGAAATTATATAAAAATTTTAAAAATAATATTCATTTCAAAACAAAATTTTTATTTTTGGTTTTATTACATAAAAAATTGCGTTTTTTAAGAAAAAATAAAAAAAATGCATTTCTAAAGTTTTTTTATGATAATTTTGATAAATAAGTTAAAAATATTTTGAAATGAATATTATTTTCGAAATATTTATATAATTTCGCTTCATTTGAGTACCAGGTTGACATATTTTTGAAAAACATTTTTTTCGAAAATATTAGGGACTTATTAAATGTTTGAGGGTTTTGAGGGACCCCTTAAAATATTTTTTATTCAAAAAAAATTTAAACCTAGTGTTTTTGTATTAGATAGAACACATTTAGGGGGTGAGAGCAGATTATTTTCAAAAATGTTGTTTTTTGGGACACCCTAATAGGCATATACTATGCATCGGGTTGGTACAAACTGATTTTCATGACATTACTATCTTTGATGGCTTCTTTATGATTTTGCTCTTTTTCATTGGTTATTTCAGGAGAATGGTTAAATGGTTGTTGTTTATTTTTTCTCACTTTCATTAAACTTGTGTAGCTGATTATTACTATTGGTTTGGTTAAAAAATAGTCTTTCTAAAAAAAATTTAAAATAGCAATTTTTAAGAAAACTGTCAGAAAGTTTTAAAAACTTTAAAAAGTTTCAATGATTTGAGGTTATAAAGGAAGTGAAATGGCCAATCAAATAAATTTATATTTTGGCATTGCAACCTTTTTATTTTTATTAAAATGGATAACAACAAAATCAGTGTATGGCTCTCTTTATCATGTTATAAATCAGCGTCCAAAACCAAATGGAATATAAGTGATTGGATAGGTCAGGGTTTGGTGTTTAAGGCTACAGCAAAGTGTTGATTTCCACAATTTTGTGATGGCGATTAAACATTGCAAACTCAACCCAGGTCCAGCAGTCAAATTAATTTAGATTTAGAGTCTCTAACCAGTTAATTTAGAGCAATCCAAAATTACTTTTGTGTTGCGTAACAAGAGAACTTGGATGCATTTTTAGTATTAAAAATACAACTTAGACTAAATGGAAAGACCTTGATGCTATGTGTTTAGATTCATGAACTGAATGCAAGGAGACTAGCAGACTTCTGCGCTAACTTCTTTTTTTTGCAATGGGCTTCAACTAACTTGAATATATCATCACCAGAGATGAGAAGTGAGTACTCTAGCTAAATCTTACCAGGAAGGGCTAGTAGCTAGGGCCACAACAACTGCTAAAACTGGCTCTATTAATCAACCTACACTCTGAAAAGGTTTTACATTTGGTTTTGTGTGTAATTCTTGGCATCTCTTGAAACTACTTGCAACTACTTGCACTGAACACTACATTAGTAGTAACCTACTGTGTCATCTCGATAACCATCAAGTGCTGCTCTTGAAAAATGCCTGTGTTTAAACAACAAAATTTCTTCCTTTGTGACAATACATGTCCTCATATTGCAAAATCTATACATCAAAAGTTATTTTGAGCCACACACACACACACACTTTTGGCAGGTGAAAGCAGCTTAATAATCAGAACAATGAAATGACTAATTAGAACAATGAAAAAAAAAATTGAATAAAGAGTTCTATGCCAACAGCATTTGTTCTTTGCCAAAGCATTAGCAAGCAAGCATAGGCAATAATAGTGCATTTATTGTTGCAGATTCTTTTTGGAGTCAAAAATAAATAATAATTTTTTTTTAGTCAATCGAATAATTGTTACTTAAAAGATTTTATATTCATTTACTGATTGTCTTGTTACTGAGTACTAGAGCTAAAATTTTTATGTTAAGCTTTGTATCTCTTTTCATATTTTTTTCTTTAACTTTTTGTTCTCTTTCTTTTTCTCCTCTTTTTGTCTCTTCTTTATGCTTTAACATTTTATTATTCTATATTAGAACATTAAAATGTTTTGTATCAATTTTTTTATTAACTTTTTTTTTTTGTAAGTGTAGTATATTAGTTAAACAACATTTAGGTATGTAAAGAAAAAGAAGATCTACTAAAACTTCTAGAAAATGTTGTAAGAAAATATATTAAATATTTGTTTATGGCATTATCAATGAAATCTTTATCTTTTTTAAATATACAAAATTCTAATTTAATTTCAAATTGTATAATATATTGTAAAAGTGATAAATATAGTTATACTAGCTGTTAGCATATATAATATGTACCATGGTAGATTTGTGCCACAAAGATGATATAGACCATAGTAGATAATATGTGACATCAGTGTCATCAAATATATTATAATCATCATATGGTAAGTTTATTTCACATCTACCACGGCCGCACCTACCTTGCTTATTCTTTGCCTATTAATTGTGTGTGGTAGAAAATTAGTCTCGTTTATTTTCATTTTTTACTTACTGTTTTCTTTCCTTAAAAGTGTTAAATGCAAACTAATTGGTTGCATGAACTCTTTAATAGTCTTCCCATCATAGACAACAAATGTGTTTTCATGTTATTAAAAAGTTTTATTTTTTGACTTATAATTCTTTCATTTACCATCCCCATCATCCCTCCACCCCCTCCCCCCACATACACATATGTGCTTGCAATCTGCAAACCATAAATTATGAAAAAAATCTATAAACCCTAAATTATGAACATTATAAAACATGGCATTATTTGTGCAACATTGTTCATACCTTGAATGGGATTTTATTAATGGTCTGGTCTGGTTGCTACTGGTAACATAAAACCCAGTACAACCTTCTGCATCCTTGTAGGATACACTTTTTTAGGCAAAGGCTAGGAGAAACCAACACTGATTTAAAACACACCTGCCTTTAGGTCTTACTTGAGGTAAGGCTAGAGATAGTGTCTCAATAAAAATACTCATCTTAAACAGATATTAAATTTATCTGGTTACTGTTTTGTAGAAAGCCTCTTCGGCAAAGACTTGAGGGGAAAACAGACTCTACCTGTGACTAGCCTAGCAGCTTTTCTTCATCTATTAGGCTGGCGCAGATGTATTTATAGTACATTGTTTCCTGTTTAGGATGTTGAATGCTGGGACTTCTTGTCTCGATGCATGGATTTTGTTTGTGTCAGTTCTGAGGTCAGCTGGTAGTCAGGTTTCCCGAACTCTGTGGTAGCTCTCAGAGTGACTGATTCCATCAACAGCTGTAAAATATCAGTGAGTATCTACTATCTAAATCTGGCATGGTGTGTGAAGCTATTGGAAATCTCAACTTGTTCTTAGTTGTTTTGTGCTTTAAAATACTTTCCTTAGAAATTTAATAAATGTTTTACCAACTGTTATTTATAACAGAAATTTTGCACTCAGTGCAGCCAAACCTATTCCAAATTCAGTTAGAGCTAAATTTTTTTTTAATACTTTTTTCAAATAAAATTAGGGACATCATTAGACTTTTTAAATTTTCTAAAAGGCTGGAGATAATGTCTATTTTATTATCTCCATTATGGTAAGTATCTAAACAATTTGTCTCCTCAAATTTTTCACTAACCAACATTTGTTTGTTTCCTAATGGGTCATTTTTAAAAGAGGAGGGCACATTTTTATTTTCTACAAACTACATTTCACCTAAATAGTTTCCTTATTTTCAACAATCTTGTTTCTAAATGGCAAATCAAAAGTAAAAGAATTCATTAAAAATATTGTAACTAAAAACATTTATATATTAAATCATATTTTTATCATAAAAACTAAATTATTATGTCAATTTAAATTTGGACTGAATTGTAAATTTAAATGCATTTTACTATAATAAAGTAAACATCTGAAATGTTAGTCAATATTTTCTTTGCCTGATAAAGGACGGACTGTAAATTTTTTTTCATGAGACAACCTCCAATTTCAATACATTAAACCATAAAAAATAGGCATTAAGCTAAATTAATTGTAAAAATGTTTGGAAAACACATATCATGAACTTTGTAGAAATGTTTGGAAAACACATATCATCAACTTTGTTATAAAGATTTTTTAATAAGCAATTGTGTTATGGGTAATATATGATGTGTTATATATTTAATTTCAATTCTTTTTCCAACAAAATTTCATGCAATATTTTTTTGCAATACAAGTAAATGTTCATATATGTATATATTTATATACATATATATATAAATACTTACATAACCATTGTTTATTTTTCTTGATAGGCAATATATGGCTTTGCAATTGTAAAAAACACCCCAACAACACTTGAGGTAATTAATGGCAGATGTTCAATATAATTTTAATTTTTAATATTTTTTTATTTTTTTTGTTAAACACTGTTTTTTTTAATCTGTTAATTATTCATTTATTCTGTTTATATGTTTTAGTCTGTTCGAACTATTAGTAATCTTATTGGGTATCCACGTAAGACTTTTTATGGTGATGTATGGTTAACAACAAACAGATCAGAAGAAGATATGGATCATGCTGACTTAGCATATTCAAATGTTGCTCTTCCATGTCATACTGATGGAACATATTTTTTAGATTCACCTGGGTAAGATCATTTTTTTTTATCTGTTATCACAACAATTGTCTCATGTTATGATAACAAATTTCATTGTTGTAATATTAGGGAGGGTCCATAATCGTCTTTTTTTTGGCTTTTTATAGTTTAACCAATTTTTCTTAATTAGTTTTTTATGCTGATTTTGAAAATCATAATCATTTTTTTTCATTTTAATTATTTAGCCTTCTACTTCGATTTTAATAAAAGTGAATATCTTGACAAAAAAAGGCATTGTTAAAAATAGATGAAATTATTATTATCATTAAATATAAGAAAAGTAGAAAACTAGTAATCTTTTTCTGTTTAATTTATCAATAATATACCTTATCATTTATAAGTAACAAAAAAAATTAAGCATATATGAAAATAATTCATACAGTTTGTTATTTACTATTGAAAATGGAAAATAACTAAAAAAGTTATCATATGTGATAGAGATTGCTGCGTGAACTTTCCTTATAGAACATCTAGGTTATGAGCGTGTTCTTTGGTAGACATAAGATGGAGGTTTGTATTTTTATATCAACAATCACGTATTTAAACAGAATAGACCTCCGCGAAAATTACCTACATTGTATCCCTAAAATAAAGAACCTCATTTTTCAAATTTTTTTTCATTTTAACATATCTTTATCTACTTCAATAATGTCTAGTTCACAGCTAAATGGGCTGCCTTGTAACTTTAATCAAGCTAAAACAGAACTCATCTTGAACACCTGATGTAAAGTTTGCTGCTCTTCCATTGTTATCCATTTGTTTTTGTTCCTTGTTTCAACTATATTCCATAGTTTCAACTTTTTGGACAAATAACTGCACATTAATTCTCCAAAATATTTTTAAACTGCGCGAACCTTCATTTTTTATATGGTTTAAATAATTAAGTATACATTTACTGTTGAAATTAAATGGGTTTTTTCCAAAGCTTTCCAACTGCAACAACTTAATTAGAAAGTTAATACTAATCATATTCCATCATCAACCAAATACATAATACTTTTCTCTTTTTTAAAGTCCTTAGGCTAATTTTTGCCAAAATACTCTAGCAAGAATGATACAATCATTCAACCTCTTTGAGGTATACTTATTAGTTGCTTCTAGAATTTTTTTTAACTAGCTATTCACTGTATTTTGAAGTAAAGCAGAAAATTTTAAAATCACCCAGTTTGTTTTTTATAAAGTATTTTAGGTAGCGGTGTTCCTTTATACTAACTGTTTATCTTTAGAATTGTTAAAACTTTAGAATTTAACTGAACTTCTACTGACTGGCACTTTAAAAGCAGATTTATTCTTGACTTTATTAAAGAAAGGTGAAAAAAAAAAAAAAAGAAATCTTGAATAGCCTTCTTGATAGCTTGAATAACGATTAAAAATAAATAAAAAAAAGGAAATTAAGATTTTTTGAAGCAATCCGTCTTTTTGATTAGTTAAAGCGTTTTGTTTAGAAAGAGACTTCAGATTAAACTTTTTTTTTGAAGCAATCTGTCATTTTACTTATTTAAAATGTTTCTTCAGAAAAAGACTTCAGATTAAACTTTTTTTTTCTAAAACGCAATGATTAAAAATCAAATTCATCCAATCAAAATTTGAATAACATAAATTTGAAAGAAAAGTTGAGTAACTTTATTCGCAAAGAAACTTTTGCAAAGACTTTTATTTTTTATATCTTTTAAATTTTTAAAATAGAAGTAGAAGGTCAAACATAAAAAATTAGCAAAAACTTAATTTTTTTTTAAACTTTTCTCAAAAAATTAATTAAGAATAACTGGTTAAACAAAAAATATAGAATTATGGACCCCACCCCACCCCTTCCTCTAGTAATATAGAGTTTTTTTTATTAATTGTAACAAGTTATATTAAATACAGTAGATTTTGAAAAAATCAACTACTTATTTTTTAAAACATTTGTTTTTCAAAACAATTATTTCTCAAAAAATTTATTTTGGTGTTAAAAGTTAGAGACAAATCATTTTTTTTTTATTGTCCAAAAAAAAGTGCACAAGTGTTTTAAATTCAAAAAATTAAGGAAGTACTGTAAAAACGTTTAAAATAGCGAGTTACATCTAGTCAAAAGCTTTTGATTTTTAATCTTGTTGTTAGATAATGTTGACTGTAGAAAATCGGCATCTAAAATGGATTAATGTAGGTTTTTATTGGTTAAAACTATTCATTGAATAAAGTAACTAAACTAACAAATAAAAAGCCTATGTTAAGATCAACAATATAAGATATCAAAGTTTATAACATCTGCCTACACAACTTATAAACAATAAAACATAAACAATAAAAAATTAATAAATAATTTTTTTTTAAATTAAAAGTTTGAAGATAAACGATAAAGATAAAGGAGAAGATTTTTGGTTGATGAAGATAAGGTTGATAGGTTGATAGGTTGCTCAAACAGAGATTATAGTAGTATTTGTAGAAAAATTGATTGTAGAAAAATTGATAACCTAACAATGATGGTAGAGAGACTTGTGTGTTGTGCGTTAATTCACCTCCTCAAGGCCTAGAAGGCCACACTGACGAGGAGGCTACTTATTTGTGGTTATAACCACAAACAAGTAGCCTCCTCGTCTGTAGTGGCCTTATATTATAAAATTTGACATTTGTGGTTATAACCACAAATAAGTAGCCTCCTCATCTGAAGTGGCCTTCAAAAATAAAATTTGACAGCAGTCCTCCATACAAAAACAAGTAAGAATTTATTTATTTAAAGCATCATCTTTTAAATTGTGACAATCTTATCTAGTTGATACGGAAATGATGGTAAGCTTTTGTATATCAAAAATGTTTTTAATACTGGATTTAATATTGATTTCTATTGCACCAATTTTATATCACAATATATATATATTGTTTAAATAATTTCTGTTGTTTTAACTAAAATTTAGTTTATTTTAATATTTATTGTTATTGTGGTTATTATTATTATTATAATACAATTAGGTTCTATTAACCACAAATGGTTACTGAATCATCTGAGAGCATGAAACAACAATTCGCAAGTCTTTTTGTTTTTACTTTTGCATGTAATTTGTAATAAGTTTTTTGTTATAGCCTACAGATGTTTCATTGCCATGAACATACAGGAACTGGTGGCGAGACAGTACTTGTAGATGGTATAGGTGCTGCTGAAAAGTTAAAGCTTACTAATCCCGATGCTGTGGAGTATTTAGCCAAGACATGGATTCCTGCCACATATTATGTATCTTCATTAATCTTTGGTTTTACTTTTTATAATTCACATTTATTAAATTTATTATTTAAATGTAGTTATTCGTTTAGGAGAAAGATCGTTGTTCAAAAGCTTTAGGGCCTATTATAAAGATAAACCCGTACTCAAAAGAAATTTATCAAGTCAGGTTAATTTATTTTTGGATTAATGTTTAAAACAGTTCAAGTCTCTATGTATATGTATGTGTAAATTTATATGTATATCAACCCTGGGAATTAGTAAATATGAAATCGGCAATAATTTGCCGACCTTAATCTTTTTGAGGTCGGCATCAGGTTGGCAAAAATTATTTGATACAAAAGTTTGACCATAAAAATAGTCTGCCATTTTTTTGGCAAAAAATAGCCAACCTAAATTTTTCTTATTTTTAAATTTATATATATAAGTATCGGTGTACCTGAAATTTCACTGAAAAAATAGTTTTATGAGCATTTCTTAAGTATTTACTAGTTTTTATGTAGAAAGTCTTACCTGAGATAAGAATATTTTTTGTAGGAGTAGCAGCAGCACCAGTAATAGTAGTAGTAATAGTAGTAGTAGTAGTAGTAGTAGTAGTAGTAGTAGTAGTAGTAGTAGTAGTAGTAGTAGTAGTAGTAGTAGTAGTAGTAGTAGTAGTAGTAGTAGTAGTAGTAGTAGTAGTAGTAGTACTTGTGACTTGTTATTAGTTATGACACTATCCTCTTATTGTGGATGTGGCATAATGGTCTCAGTTTTGTACATTGGTTTAAAGCAACAATTGAGACAATCTACTTAACATTAACAATTGAGACAATACTTTACATCTCTAATTATCTTATACTTCTCATTATAACTAATTTTCTCTAAGAAATAAAACATTCTATAGAGCACATAAGTCCTAGTGCCTAATAAGTTTTTTTATTCATTTCCACACATGCCTTTAACCAATTTCTCGTTTTTTGATTTGACCCTAGGCATTCTCATATATTGTTGGATCCATTACGATAAGTAGATTTTGTCACCAAAATCACACAATTCTCATTACTAAAGGGTAATTCCACATCAAATCACCCAATCCATTGAACCATGTGTCTTCTGTTTGTTTTATATTTTGACACATTATTCCTAATTATAAAAAAATATTGCATGCAAAATTTCAGCCAAAAATGTTGAGCGATTTTAGATACTGCGATTTTAACATTTAACAAGATACTGCGATTTTAACATTGACCTGTTTTCCCAAAATGACTCAGTTTACATTCTAAAAAAATATTTTTCTTAAAAAAATTAGAAATAAAAATGGCAAAAATATGAAAATAAACATATAGTATTTTTTTGATGCTGAATTCAATAAATGTACTTAAAATGCTGAAATATAAAAGGAACATGCCTAAAAGTTAATAAAACAACTAGTTTCTATAAACCAACGTTGCGGCCCAATATCTCAAAACACCTCCATCAAAATTTTTTTTTTTTTGCTGTTTATATATTCAGCTGTTTATAATTTTACTAGGCACAAAATATGTAACTGGAAAAACAACTGAAACATATGAAACTTTAATATCAAAGATGTATTACTTTTTCAAGAAATTCCCAAAAAATGTTTGTAAATAAAATAAAAATAATTTAATCGCAATTTAAAAAGGTATTTAAATATACTAGATTTTTAAAGATGTAAATTATTTTGACTGTGTTTGTAATAGTTCACAATATTGTTTCCATTTTACTTGTACTTCTTCTATTTCAGCATTTTCAAACACATAGTTTCTACCGGAACTAGAGCAAGCTTGTGGAACAGATAGTTTTTTCAATATGTTGGTGTTAAGAGTAAAACAGTTGTCCTCTCTTTCAGGCCAGTTAAAACAGATTGATGGACCTTTTGGGTGAAGAAACTTAACTTTAACATCAACTTCTTCTAGGTTAGTTTCAGTTACAATGCCGATCCACCACTTATCATCATAGACTACAGCTACATAAGTCCTAAAGTGACATTATCAAGTTTAAATATATCTTGTTTCTTTTTAAGGTTGTGAATTATTGTATAATTAGTGTCTGTACTACACCTCTTTGCCCCAACCCTGTTATCTCCAATATGTATAAATTGATGAAAGCTACGAGTACCAGGTAGAGTTGTTACACCATTGTACGTTTCTTTTTGCTCCTCACATTGCAATTGCTAAATTGCAATGCGAGGAGCAAAAAGTCTATCGCCTTTATGTAAATGAAGTTAACAACCTTGATTTTCTCAATACAAAATTCATACATAGCCTCTGATGTGAAAATTTGGTTTCTGTATGGTCGTTTTAAACTTTCTTGCGCTGTTAACCATTTTACAGTGCCGCCAATCCCATCGCATAGTGACTTTCCGTGTGACGTGGCAAAAAAGTTTCATTCAACTTTAAAGGAAAATTTGCTCTCTAGTTGGCATAGATTGTAAAAGCTTTTACAATTTTTGTACTGTCCTGCGCAACCATCAGTGAATAGATGTAATTTGGACAGATTGGAAAATTTTATTTTTAATATTGGTATGATTAGTTGAAATATTTTGAACACATAAGTTACATCATGAGTAATGTCGTCTGATATAAAACAATAAGAAATATGTTTCAGTACACCTTTATCATCTTTATAGTATATCACTAATAGATGTAAAGAACATTGTTGGGTGTTCCAATGATAGCTTTGTATATCATCTAGGACTACAAAAGTATAATTTTCAGCGAAGTCGCCAATAATGATAATGTTTGATTGATCCATATTTTGTTTTAGTTGGTTAAGGTACTGTGATTAAGAGTGAGCAATAAAAGAATGAGCTTGTAGCTTTTCCAAGCAAGATACTAATAGTTCAACAAATGTTGAAACATCTGCTGTTAAACTCAATAGTGTTGCACAATCAGTAGTTTGCCATTGCTTGTAGTGTATCTCAAAATCATCTTCGTGGTCTCCGAAAATCTCATACATATATTTGGTGAGGGTTTCTTTACCAGGACAATTATCACACTGTGCAAGCATGCATTCTTTATTTTCTACTGAGCAACAGTTTTTGAAAGTAAATCCTTATACTTTAGTCCAATATTTAAGGCATCTACTAGCAATATGGCATTTTGGTGATAACAACAAACACAAACAGAATGTGTACCGTTTGCACCTGGCAAAATGCACCACTTTGGTCAAGTGAAGCAAATTTTGAGTAACCTATTTTATTTCTGGATTGTTTTCTTTGTGTAATACATATAGTTCTTTTAAATTACACAAAAGCAGTTTTTTTTGTTTACGGTTGTTCTTTTGAATGCTAATATAATCTTTTTTTCCAGGCATAGTTCTACATAAATCACTTGAGTCATAAAACAATTTAACAGAATCTTCTATTTCTTTGTGTAAGATTTTACCTTTATACAATGGAGAGATAGCTAACAATCCTTTTTTATTAAAAAGTTTGTCTAGCCATTTTTGCTTCGTATTCTGCAACTGCGAAGTTATTTTGTACTTCTAATATCGACCAACTTGGGGGTGCCAGTGTTAGAAGTTGAACAATAGTCCTTTTGTCAGAACATAGAGTTTTTTTTTTTTTATCAAGCTCATAATTTCATCAAAGTTTTCAGCCTTCATTTTCATGTTATTTGTTTTATAACACAGTTTTGAAGGAACATTGACTTGACTTTCAGTTTTTCTAGTAACATTTACCATTTCATTGATGCGCGCAATTTTTTGCTTTCCTTCTGAGAGAATATGTTTTGATGACTTTGAATGAGATTTTAGAGGAGATATATTAAAATTTTTGAGTTCTTCATTGATCTTCTGTCTTTTTGATTTGAATGATGATATTAGAAAATCCTCATCTTGTTCCTGACTTTGTTTCTTTTCTTTAAGATCTTCTTTTATGGCAATCTTTTGCTTACAAGGTTTGCAAAGTTTCTTCCCAGGAGCAATATTCAAGCTACTTCTCATCATGACTTGTGACTCATTATTGTAACTACTATGAGAATTTCTAAAAGTAATTGAATTATATAAAGCTTATCTGCGCAATTGTTCAAAACATTGTTTATGTTTTAGAAAATACAAATTAAAAAAGTATATATATATATAAAATATTTAGATTCTACATCTACTTACTTGTGATTTTCTTTGTATGTTTATTGAATGGATCACAACATGCTTTCTGCCATATAGGATACAATTTCAAATATTTTATAGCATGTCTTTCACATAATATCGTTAAGTTTGATAACTCAATGTTACAATGTAATGATATAGTTATTTTTTCTTCATTGCTTAAAGTTTCAATAACATCTTGCTGGTCATTGCATTCATCTGATGTCAATAAACACAATATAGAACACATCTTATAATAAGTTACTTAGGGTGAATGTATTTCTTAAAAAAAAAATTAAAAAATTCTTCTATTCTACATTATTTTGAGTAAAAAAAAAAATTAATATAGAAATAATTCAAACCTTTTCAGAATCCTTCTGTTGTATAATTTTTTACATTGAGAGATATTGTTAATTTTCTTTATAAATATTTATATATATAAAATCTATATATATAAAATTTTTAATATTTCAATAAAATTTTACCGATTAATGATGTTATCACTGAATTTTTTATAAACTAGTTTTTACAAACTATAGTTGTTAAAATTTTAAAAACAAATGCACTTCAATATCACACCTAGTCAGATTCAAAACAGGATGTTTTTTTCAGTTGTTAAGATCAAATAACAAATTTATTATATAGTTAAGACTTCCTTAAATATAACAATTTTTTTTTTTTTTATCTATGGAGTCTATAAACTAAATTTAACATTTAACAAAATTCTATTTGCAAGTTTTTTAAACTAATTTATTGAAAATTTGATATATATTTAAAATTAAAGTTCCATATGTTTTAGCTGTTTTTCCAGTTAGATAATTTGTGCCTAGTAAGATTATAAGCAGCTTAATATATTAACAGCAACAAAAAAACAAATTTTGACAGAGGTGTTTTGAGATATTGGGCCCCAAAGTTTGATTATAGAAACTACTTGTTTTATTAACTTTTAAGCATGTTCCTTTTATATTTCAGCATTTTAAGTACATTTATTGAATTCGGCATCAAAAAAACATTATATATATTTATTTTCATATTTTTGCCATTTTTATTGCTTATTAATTTTTTTTTAATGTTATAAAAACCGGGTCATTTTAGGAAACCAGGTCAATGTTAAAATTGCAGTATCTTGTCAATCGCTCAACATTTTGAGCTGAAATTTTATGTTTTAATTTTTTTTTTTAAAGGTGCAACAGCCAAAGAAGTTTTAAAAAAATTTGAGGAACCATGGTTCAAAATTTCCTAAATTTTAGGTGATTTGATGTGGAATTACCCTAAATAAATTACATTTTAAGGGATCCCTAAAAACAATACATTTTTAGGTTCGGGAATTTGTTATTTTTTACACAAATTTATAAATAAAAATTTATTAATTGTTCAAAAGTTACAGCTTTAAAAGTAAAAGCTTTTACCCTAAATGAAACTATAGTAATAATGGTTATATTATTTGGATATGACTGTCATGAATATATCATTTGTAAAATAGAAACCAATGTCATGGACAATAATTAATGTATAGTATAATTGAGATACTGTTTGTTAATTAGTTTTATGACAACATAGTTATAATTAAGTCAATTTTTAAATATTTTTCTGGATTCATCATAATTTTCTGGATTCATCATAACTGGAGACATTCCTGTTAAAAGCATTGTTAAATGTTGCGAATAATTGAAACTTTAGCAACATTATTTTTACTACCACATTTCTTTATATGATTATATAAAATAAAATACTACAAATATGATTAAGAGCTTCCTCCATTGGGTGTAACTCTAGTGGATAAAGTTATTATACCAATAAGTAGTCGCTGGCTTCTGGGTGTATCAATGGAGAATTATTATCATTAAAATAATCTTTAGCATTATGTTTCATTGAACCTGATTGTGAGAATTTGCTAGATTTTGCTAGAGAATTTTTTGCGTTGTCGCTTGAACCAAAAGTTCTAAACTTGTTTTCTTAAAATGGTTTTATTCTTTTTTGTTTGCATATATGGTAAGGTTGGCACTTGGAGAAACTACTCATTATTTGACAAAGTTTAAAATCAGCTACAAATGAGCGTATTTTTTTTTATCAAAGTTATCTTTTTTTAAATTTTTTCTGTTATTTTAGAATGCTTATTATTAAAGAAACATTGTACTGAATAATTGTTGTGACTTTCAGAAACATTTAGAACTTGTAAAAAACAAGTTTTTACAGAACTTTCTTTATATTTTGATTTTTGAGATTCTTCATAATTACTTCTGGTTGTTTTATGTTTGTGAATATATTTATAAAAGAAAGAAAGCTTCTTCTTCTTTCTGTTGTTTTATGTTTGTAAATATATTTATAAAAGAAAGAAAGCCTCTTCCTCCAATAAATAACATTTTTATTATGAAAAGAACATCAAATTAAAATTATCTATATTACTTATAAAGAATAGTATCCTTTAAAAAATTGTTTTACCTGAGTTATTTAGCGTACTGTATAAGTGTCTTGTTGGACAAAGTAAATCTCGATTTAATCCTTATTAAATTAATGTCTAGGTATATTTTTTAAGGATTCTACTGATATTTGTAAAGGCACTTTTAACGAGTTTATTTTTTTAATTCTTATTCTTATACTTTTTCTGAGAATTTGAAATAAAAAACTTTAGTTGAGATTTGAAGTTTTTCTAATATTTTTACAGCTAAAATTTTATTTTAACATTTGTGTTTCTTTCCTTTTCCGATGATTGAAAGGCAAGATTTGCATTTTTTTTTTTTGGCTGAACGCGACTTGGAAAACTTGCTACTGCTTTTTGTTCAAGTTCTTCCACGTAAACTCGTTAGTTTGTAAATTTTGCAGTGATAGTGACAGTGACAAATTTTTGCAGTGACAAATTGCAAAAGGTTAAAGCTGTAACATTGTTTACCCGTCAAATAAAATATTTGCCAGATTTATAAATAGAGCTCAGTATATCATTAAATCTAAGTACCCAGTGGGCATTAAACGTCCTAAGATGTCCGACCGACGTCAAGGGGATGTGCAGATGTCCAATGGACGTCTCTTAGACGTGTAAGGGTGTCTTATGCCCACTGGGTAGTTTTTTTTAGATTATATATTGTTTCTACACTTATCACATATTTCAAGTGGATTTTTAGTTTTGAACATTTTATTTTCTCTTTCTCTTTTGAATATTTAATAGTCTTATTTTTTGTTTTTTTTTCAAAAAATTGTTTGCACAATTTTTTGTGTGTACAAAAATGGCAAACCTTTTTTTTTTATTTGTTTTATTATCACACTTTTTTTTTTTATAATTATTTTTATTTGTTAAACTTTTTAAAGTAAAAAATGATACTTTTTAAATGCCTAAATTACGTAAAGTAAAAAGTGCATTCTATCCAACAATGTATAACAATGTCTGGGGTCAAATCACAAAACTATTAGGTTAAGGAAGGATGTGTGTTTCATTATTTAAAATAATTATCATTAGTTAATTTTGATATTTTCTTTACAAAACTATAAATTGAAAATCTGAGGAAAGTTATACGTTTTTAGAATAAATGATGGAGATCGTGATGTTTTGTGTTTTTAGAATAAATGATGGAGATCGTGATGTTTTGAATTGCTTATCATTTGATGAAATTGAGAAATTTTATAATCATTACATTGCTTTTTTGGATATCATATATAGCAAGGAACAAGAGTTTCGACTTAAACTAACTCCCGGAAATTTATTAATTGTCAACAACTGGAGGTTGGTTTTTATAAATAAAATTTATTTGCATATTTTAATTTTTTTAACAATTATATCATAATATTCCTAATGATGCATATATATTAATAAACATTAATCTATATTTCTTGTTCAATCTTCTATCCTCTATCAACCATCTATCTTCTATCTTATTTTAGTATTTTTCTATTTTTTCCATAATTTTAAGAGGTCGTGAATTATTTTAGAGTTCTTCATGGACGCACCTCATTTACTGGAAAACGTAGTTTAAGTGGTTGCTATATCAACATGGATGACTACTTAAGTACAATTCGTGTCTTACGCGAACATTTACGCGGAATACCTTCTAAGTAAAAGAAATAAAAAGTTTAGATATTGTTACTAATTGAAAATATATTTTAATTTTTCTCCTTTTGAATACTTGAAAAATTTACGAAATTATAAACATTTAATGTTCTGATACAAAATTTTTATTACGATGTTTTTTTTTTTTTAAGTTTTTAAATAATTTTAACAATAAAATATTTTATTGCTTCAAATAAAAGTTTTATTAGAATTTTTTGTTTTATTGGTTTTTGGTGATCATTTTAATAAGCTTTTGTTGTAATATAATATATAAAAGTAAAATATAATAAAAAAAATAATTCGGTGAATTCGATGGAAAATTAGTAACTCGGATGAGGATATATCATCAACATATTTTGGTGATGATGGAAAATGACTTGGTGTTGAAATGTCTGCAGTTTTGACAAGTTAAAAATGTTTAGTTAAAAAATTAAATTCGTTTGTTTGTAAAATTCATACATGCCAAATATATATTTTTTTTTTTTAGTTATTATTTAATATAATTCAATAATATAGTTTACATTTTTATCTTTATAACTTGTGTGTGGTGATAATTGATTTGATCTCTAAAATTTGTTGTGTTTATAAAATCTTTACCACATCTGAAATTAGCTGCGTTTATAAAATGTTTGTTTGCGCAAACAAACATTTTAAGCAATTTAAAATTTCAGCATCCCGAATTTAAGCAATTGCTTAAATTCGGGATGCTGCATATATGCGTTTTCACATATGTGCGAACTGACATAAGTGCGAAGCTTTGCAAAAAATGACATATGTGCGAATTGGCATAAGTCTCCATAACATTTTGCAAACATTGGCATAAGTGCGCTGAACAAAATTACAAACATTGGCATAAGTGCGATATTACATAAGTACGAAGCAGTTACAAAAACTAGCATAACTGCGAATTGGCATAAGTGCGCCGAATAAAATTTCAAATATTGGCATAATTGCAAATTAGTATTTTGCACTTAAGCCAATGTTTGCAAATTTATTTGGCGCACTTTTGCCAATTCGCAATTATGCCAGTGGGCACTTGAGCCAGTTTTTGTAACTGCTTCGCACTTATGTCAGTTCGAACTTATGCCAATGTTTGCAAATTTGTTCAGCGCACTTATGCCAATTCGCATTTGTGCCAGTTTTTGTATCTGGTTTGCATATATGCCAATTCGCATTTATACCAATGTTTGAAATTTTGTTCGGCGCACTTATGCCAAATTGCATTTATGCCAGTTCGCATTTGTGCCAATTTTTGCAACTGCTTCGCACTTATGCAAGTTCGCACATATGCCAATTTGCGCTTATGCCAGTTCGCGCTTACGTCATTCGCACTTATGCTAGTTCACACTTATGAAATTCGCGCTTATTCAGTCATCCCCTTAAATTGTCTTATCGGTAAATAAAAAATGTCTTATCGGTATTTTTTTATTTCGGTACGAGGATCGGTAAATAAAAATTGTTATATCGGTAATTGTTTATTGCGGTAAGATGATCCATTTAATTAACTTTCTATTACTTTTTTCGAGTATTGTGTGTATATCTAGTTTTTATATCCGGTTATAAATTTGTTCAAATTCTCAGTTATTTTTAGTTGTTAAACATCCAAATCTTCAGTTTTTGAAAAAATAATTTTTTTTTCTCCTTTTAAATTACCTCTTATATAATTTTTCTCCTTTTAAATCACCTTCTTTAAATACTTTAATAAATACTTTTAAATCACCTCCTTTAAATCACCTCTTTCTAAATCATCTCAATGTTCGTTATTTGTTTTATTAATAAACACTTTTTTTTTCTTTTAAATCGTTTCAATTACTTGACAATCAATAAAGACGTCGATAATGAAAAACTGCTGTTTTGACCAATGTGCTCCGGTGTGATAATTTTTTTTATTTAGTTTTTATATTTTTAATAAATTATAACAGAATATAATCACCATATCAGTAAGAATAAAAATAACAAAAAAAAAATATAGTTAAATTAAATCTTGGGTTTAACAGAAACTTGGTGACTGGTGGTGGTGTTCTGACGAATCATCCAGAATAAATTCAAGTCTGTTCCAAACTACAAACTATTATCTTATGAGCGAAAAGTTAAAAAACGAGTTGAAATTATGACATATATTCATAATGATCTTACAACTAAAATTAGAGACGAACTTTTGGTTTCTGATGCCAATGCGAGATCTATAAAATTGAAATAATAAACAAAAAATTAAAAAATATACTTGTGCCCACCTGTTACAGACCACATGAAAGTGATATACTTTTAAAGTGATACTCCGTGATGAACAAAGAACTTCAAAACATATCTAAATGGTTTAAAAGTAACAAATTACCATTAAATAAAACCAAAACAAAATGGATTCTTTTCCACCCGCTCTCCAAAAAACGTTTTCTACCTCCAAATCTACCAAAAGTTCTTATTGACCATATTGAAATTAAAAGAGATTCTGTAACTAAATACCTGGGGGTTTTTATTGACGAGAACATCACATAGAAACATCATATTTACTATTTTGCTCAAAAGTTACAAAAAGTATCGGAATTTTATATAAGACGCGTACTCATTTAGATAAAAATAATTTAACTAAACTTTATTACTCTTTTATTCACAGTTATATAAATTATGGAGTTATTTCCTGGGGTAGCACTGATCAAAGCAAGTTACAATGTTTCTTTCGCCGTTAAAAACATGCGATCCGTTTAATTAATTCTGCGGATCGGTTCGCACATTCCTCAATATTTGTTAACCAAATGAAAATCCTAGATATAAATAAACTAAATGTAAATAAAATTTATTTTTTGTCTATATGTGGAAGCATGATTTATCTCCTTTAATTTGAAAGGTCTTTTTATTTTGAAACCATTAAGCAAGTTTAACATGAGGAATAATTATTATTTAAATGAACCATTCTGTCGAACAAAATTTAATCAATTTTGTATCACTTATCGTGTAGCTCATCTCTGGAAAAAAATTATTTTGCCTAACTTCAACTTACCCCTAACTTATCCTGTTTTTTAAAATAAATTAAAAGACCACATTCTTTCTATTGAAAATATCTTAGAATATTTTTAATTTATCTTGTGATAAAAAACAAAATAATAATAAACTTTATTGTCATGTTTTGTTTTATACTAGTTTATAATTTATTGTTTTTTTATGATTTTTTACGTACTTTTATTGTAAAAAGGCGTTTTTATAATATGTTACATACTCTCCTTTGTAAACGGGTTCTGACAATAAAATCATTGTGATCTTCTTTTAGAAGCCTTGTTTGTATTTGGAAAATATGTAATTTATAAATATTACGTTAAATGTAAACAAACAAATAAAAAAAAAAAATAAATAAAATATAAAAAACTTTTCAAATCACCTAAAACTATTTCTAGAAAAAAACAAAGAACACAAAATATTATTCTGTATCGGTGACATAAATATAAATTGTCTACAGTACAATGAAGATGCTGTTACTAAAATTTTTTTGACAATATGTTTTGACACTACATCTTTCCTATAATAAGCAAACCAACCCGGGTAACATTAAATTTGATCACTGCAATTGACAACATATTGAATTAATTTTATGATTCTTCATTAAAAGCAGAAGTGATCAAAACGGATATATCCGATCACTTTCCGATATACTTTTCCTTTTTTCAAGATACAAAAAATATTAACTCTAAAATCAAAGTCTATAATTGAAAAATTATTTATTTTACTACTCAACAGTTTAAAGCATTATCAGCATTGAGGTGGGACAGGATTTGCCAAAAATGCAACCTTGGGCATACTAACTCCGCTTATAATGAATTTGTAGAAATATTCTTAAAGCACTATGATTATCACTTGATTTAATTATGTTTGCCGATGACACAAACATTTTTTATTCCTCGAACTCAATCAAAGACCTTTATGAATGTATGAACAAAGAGCTTAAAAAATTAAATATATGGTTGAAATGGAATAAATAGCAAACTAAATACACAAAAAACAAAATACATATTGTTTCATTCCAAAAAACAAAAAATTAATATATCATTCCAAAAAACAAAAACAAAAAAATATATCAACTATCCTTCCCTCACTTAAAATAGATAAGGTAAACATTGAAAGAACAGAAACAACTAAATTTCTTGGGATACTTATTGACAAAAATATATCTTGGAGAGCCCATATAAGTACAAAAAAAAACAAAATTTCAAAATATATTGGGATACTCTACAAAGTTAAACCTATGTTGTCCCAAAATAATCTTAAATTGATTTATTTTTCTTACATCCAAAGTTATCTTACGTACGCTAATATTACATCAGCGAGTACACACAAATCCAAACTGAGTACTATTTATATAAGTCAAAAACATGCATCAAGACTAGTTTATAACAAAAATTACTTCATGTTGAACCCTTACTAAAAACCTTAAGGGCACTTAATGTTTACCAAATCAACATCTATCAAAATGTACTATTTATGCTTAAATACAAACTTGGACTAGTCCCTTCGCATTTTTTAAATTATTTCTTTCAAGTAAACTCTAATAGATATATAACAAGAGCAACATGCAAGTTCACACTGCCTAAAAAAACAACAAAGTTCTCACGTGCCTTTTTCTTTACTTTTCTTAGTTTTATTCTTTTTTTTAAAAAAAATACTGGTAGTTTTTATGATAAGAAACACTGTTATTTTTTAAATTGATCAAAGACTAGATTGCTATCTATTATTGGAAAGGGCTTCAATAAAATATTTTATTTAACTATTTTACAAAAAGTAATGATGTTTTTAGCAGCAAATTTTTAGTATATGAATTTGTTGAAGAAAGTGTGGTCAAAACTTAATTTTCCTTCACTTAAATTGTTCCTTCACTTAAATTGTTATAACTTTGTCAATTCTTATCTAACTTACTATAACTGTCAAAAGATAGGTGTAAACGTGGGCTAAAAATTTCTAACATCGTCCACCTATTGGACATTTTCTGGGGACTAAAGGGGGTGTAGAATCATCACTTTTAACCTAAAAATAAGCATATGTTTTTCAATTAAGAGTGTTTTTTATCAGCAAACAGTAATTTTTTTTATACAAAAAGTTGCTATAATTTTATTCCAGACAACAACAATGATTGGCGTATATTCAAGTTGGTGGTGGATATAGTGGTAGTGGTTTAACATACCTTGTTTAAAAAATGTTTCATTCTCTAATTATAAATAAATATTTTTATATTTAATAAAATAAGTGAAACTAGTACACAGTATAAAAAACATTCAAAATTATTTTTACTAGAGTTTCATTTGTTGGTGGTGTGCTTATTGACTTGTGGAAGGGGCGTGTACCCACCCCCCAACCTGAAATAAAAAATAAATAAAAAAATAAGTCTTTATAATAACAATTATAGTTATTCTAAAATGATTTAACAATTTAAAACCAGAATAAGGCACCAGGTATACCTGCTAAGCTAAAATTG